AAAATGGCTATTTTTGTAGTGATTTTATAACATACTTATGTTATAATTTTTTTATAAATATTAATTATATATATATATAAAATTTCAAGTTATGCTATATTTATGGATTAAAGTACGTAATAACAGGGATAGTGCGTGTGTAATTTGCTACTTACATATCTATCTATCTATCTATCTATCTATCTATCTATATATATATATATATATATATATATATATATATATATGTGTGTGTGTGTGTCACCGAATAAAAAAGAAGACATGAAAATCTTTGAAAAAGTTTTGTTTCGAGAATCAGCCTGAAGAATTTCTTTTTCATAATGAAATGCGTCACTTACTGGTATTTTTCCATTTTGTTACACACACACACACACACACACACACACACACACACACACACACACTTGTGTGTGTGTGTATGTTTGTGTATGTGTGTGTCCTTTTCAAGTAAAATTCAACTCGTTGTATAGGAATGCATATTACTTCCAGTATGCATTAATCTCTCAATTGACCTAATGTATTCTTACTTTTATTATAAGTATTAGCAATGTAGGGTAAAGAAACTCTCCCCACCGGAATTTGAACTCATTTTCCATGCTGCTAACCATTGGGCTAATTCCGCCGCTTCAGAGAAAATGCCGAAGTCTTTGTATTAATCTTCAAGTAAATTTTACGGTCATTATTGTTGCGAAAATGAAACTTTTTAGTGACTTACTATTTTCGTTTGTCATGGTTTTAAGTGTCACAATTTTTTTATCAAATCATCCGCAGTTTCACACCCTCATGGCTCATCGATTCAAATATGCCTCCTGACCCCCAAAACGGGATCAGCAAGTTCGAATTTCGACCAAAGTTGTTGAGTTCTCTTTGCACTTATCCCTCCAGAAAGGCATTAAGCTCCCACTTCTCACAGCTGTGCCTAAGAAAGAGTCAGGCAGATTAAATCCTTCAGCGTGGTTATGGCAATCCTTCTCCGAAAAGAACATCTTTGAATTCAAAACACCTGCCAACACGTCAAGAGGAAGGATAAAGTAGACGTTGGGGAATCTCTGATCCTAATGTGGAGGGAGAAAATGACTGTTGTAATAATAATAATAATAATAATAATCAATTCTATGTGTTCCTTAGTTAGTAAATAAGTTAGCAAGTGCATCACGCATCACGTGCATCCCGCCCTGCCTTTACTTCTGATAAATAATAGACCATTTCGTTTGGTTGCGATAAAATACGGTAGAAAAAGTTATATCAGAGACGCTGTTCAGTTTTATTGGGAAAGAGAAAACGTACATAATAAGAAGAAATAAAAGAGAGAGAGAGAGAGAGAGAGAGAGAGAGAGAGAGAGAAAGAAAGAAAGAAAGAAAGAAAGAAAGAAGGAAAGGGAAGCTACATTAGGTTTTAACGTCCCCATGATTTTAACGTCTGCTTTAGTGAAATGGAAAACATTTTATTCTTACTACTTTAAATAATGTCCCGGATCCATAATTGTCTTTGTTATTACAATATTTTGTTAAACTCATTAAGCTCAAATATTTAATAATTCAGGAGATCAAGTTCTACTTCCATTTTGTTGTCAATGAACGCATACAGAGTGTATCTAGTCATTAACTTAAGAATCGTGATACATCAGAAAACTGAAATAGGAAAATCGTGAATGTTTCATAGGTGATGATGATAATAATAATAATAATAATAATAATAATAATAATAATAATAATAATAATAATTCAAGTATCTTGAAGTGGAAATCTCATAAATGTGGCACATGAGAACATCAAGAATCGCTGTTGTAGTTGAAGCTCTCGGATTAATTGGAAAATAGTTTTGATAGACTCATTGAAGAGATTCCTTGTAGCGCCCATGAATACAAAATAAGGAATAAAAAAGTATTTACTCATAAGTACAGCTCACTCATTACGAAGAACTTTTATCTTTGTAAAATGTCTTTTATCTTAGTTTTTTTTATTTTTATTTTTTTTTTATAAAATTGGTCAGTGGAAAATGTCATGAAGCCATTTCTGAACTTAGGTCATTGGTTGGAAACTGGGAAGAAATATGTATACAGCATAAATCAAAGGAATTAATAATAATAATAATAATAATAATGATAATAAATTGTTATTAAAGACCACAAACAAAAACGGTGCCTCCTTATTGATATGGCAGTCCCTGCTGACTGCAATGTATCTTTGAAGATATTCAAAAAGTTGTCAAAATACAAGGACCTTGAAATAGAAATCTCAAAAATGTGGAATATGGGAACATCAACAATCCCTGTTGTAGGACTGGTTGGAAAAGATTGCAGTAGACTAATTGAAGGGATTCCTGGAAGTCCATGCATCAAGGAGATAAATTGTTCTGACAAGTACAGCCCACACTTTACGAAGGGCTTTATCTATGTAAATTTTTTTTTAGTCAGTGGAAAGTGTCTTGACGTCATTTCTAACTTTAGGTCCCTGGGTGGGACCCGGAAAGAAATGTGTAAACGCCAGAAATCAAAGAAAATAAAAATAATAATGATAATAATAATAATAGTAAATGCCCTTTTCTGATCGTAATTGAGAAGGGAAATTCTGAATTCAAGCCAGCCTGGAGAGAGTTGGGCTGCGTCAGGTTAGTGTACCCAGGAAACACTAATGCTTCTGAGACTGCTTTATATCTGTGGTGGCCCTACGATCCTAAGCGTTACGGAACTTGTGGAACTATATATATATATATATATATATATATATATATATATATATATGAATGTGTGTATATATGTATGTATATATGTATATATACATTATGAAATGGACAAAGTCCGACAATTATTTAAGACATTTTTATGTTTATACATTCTTAAATAGTTATATCGATGAAAAGAACGTATAAACATATGTATGTATGTGTTTGGATGTATATATGTATACATATATGTATGCATATATATATGTATATATGTATGCATGTATATATGTATGTATATATTTATGTATATATGTATGTATGCATAAATGTATGCATATATGTATGATATATATGTATGTATATATGTATGTATGTATATATGTATGCATATATATGTATATATATATGTATATATATGTATGTATATATGTATGCATGTAGATATGTATGTAGATATGTATGTATGTAGATAGATAGGTATATATATATGTATATATGTATATATATATATATATATATATATATATATATATATATATATATATATATATATATATATATATGTATGTATGTATGTATGTAGATATGTATGTATCTTTTTGTGTCAGGTCATTCTGATGCGATGCTGCGGGTATCATTTAAACCGGTTCCCCACCAGGTCTACATGGTGAGGAGGGTGGCTAGAAACCCTGCAGGACAAAAAACAAGACATGCCAAAGGTGGATTAACCTCTTTGAGAGGTCAATGGCCATCTCGAAATCCCTGCACGAAGCCATAGAAATATTTTGGCTGGTATCCAGACTCGCATTTAGCCCACTGGGAGTGGGTCCTGCTAATCCTTCTGGCAGTCTACTAGGAGAATAAAACACTAGATATCTTGCAATTGAACAGTGCGCTTTTGTGGTAAGGGTCAAGTTACACCCGTCCTTAAAACCTGCACAGGCATAATTGATATTTATGGGTAAAGTGCTCAGTAGCAGGTATAAAGTGTATGCCGATATAACAATGACCCTGCTATTGGAATTTCGAACTGAACCCTTTATCTCGTCAGTCGTGTTCTAGTTCCAGATGCCATGCCTCTTTTGGATGTATCAGTATCAGTATATTTCCCTTTACCTCAAACTTCCAAGTTTTTGCTCATCTCAACTGTAGCCATCGTGAACTCTTTGGGTTAAGTTACTGAATTCAATCAACGCCGTGCTCAATCTAATGACCGTGCTTACTGTCTTCCTAAATGGATTCCATTGCCTTTTATTCTCGTTTCCTTTTATTGTGACATTTTTCAATTTTCTTTCTGTGTTCGCCATCAACACGGTACCAATTGAGTATCTTATGTTGTTAAGACTGTATCTTTGTGTACATGGTTCAATTCTCGTTCTTGCTACATCCAGCAGCAAGGCCTCTGCTCAGGAGGTTTTGAGGAGCGTGGAACCACCTCTTAATTGCTGGTGTTCCCAGATCCACACTGACCCGGGGTGGTAGCACCTATTAGGGTCACAGCTTTGGGCAAATAGTTATTACCCAGACTTGTGTAAAAATAAGTTTTAATACCAGAAATATTTGTAATTGAAAAAAAATTATTACCCACAATAATTTTAGAAGGAAAAATTATCATCAGTAATACTTTAAAAAATGCCAGCAATACAAACAGCTTTGGAAAAAAATGTGACGAGTTATAGATTTTTTCTCAAGGAAAAATATTCCAATAAACAGATTGTAGAAGAAAAACATTACCAGCAATAAAAATCTTGTCGGCATTAAATAACCCATTGAGGTTGATATGACGTAAAACAAACCAAACCAAACTTAGTTCAATTCATTTTCTACTCTGTTCGAAAATATTGTCATATAAACATTCCCATGTGTTGTGTCAGTATCCTGTACCGCATATAGGTAAGCACAACCTGAAGGAGATCTGATCTTTAGGATTTTCTGCACCCTACTGACAAAAAACATACACGCACACACATGGGCCGTTCTGAAAATAATGCCTTTAATTTGTTTCTGCTGATACTACGGCAGATAAAAGGGCATTAAAAAAAATTAGATAAGACAAGCCCTAAGTTACAAAATACGCGAGCTATACATTTTCAATCCCTCTGGATAGCCAGGAACATGAGTTGTTATACATACCAATTTTACCACTACTAAAATGCATTACTTACTTCATAACTATACTCTCATCCTTTGTTTGGTCTTCATAAAAGTACGGGTAATGTCGATGGGTACAAATGAAAGTATTCGATGAAACAACTCGCGTGATTTTTTGCCTGATAGTTGTTAACTCCTGTCAATAACAAAATGAAGCAAATTATTGGTTATATTCATTATTATGTATTTACTCATTCAATTAGTTTTTTTTTTTTTTTTTTCATTTTATCTATTATTATCTATCTATCTATCTAGTCTCTTCATCTATCTATCTATCTATCTATCTATCTATTATCTATCTATCTATCTATCTATCTATCTCAGTCTTCATCTATCTATCTATCATCTAATCTATCTATCTATCTATCTATCTATCTCTTTAAACGATTTCTTACCAGTGCAAAACATAAATATATCTTGAAATTATCCGTAAAAATATATATATATATATATATATATATATATATATATATATATATATATATAATATCACGCGATGATTCCAAAGAGGGTATAAATCGAAAGAACAAAGATTTTACAATTACCGGCTTTTCTTCACCGATGCGTCTTTAAGATATCAAACGGCTCTATCTAAACATTACTGGAATCTTAAAGAATCTTCACTTCCACAAATAATATTGAAGATTATCTGTCAATTCACAGACTCCCAACAACTTCAGGGACAAATGCAATCTATGCATTAAATAAAAAATTATAATGATTAATAAAGTATAAAAATGCTAATGGATTTTTAAACCAACGGAACAAACTTATTTTCAATCGTAGACACAAGAACTGTTTTAAAATTCGCTAATAGCATTAATTTTAGACTTGAAGTGTTGTATATTTTTTATGTATATATAGTGTATGCATAAGTGCATATATATATTATATATATATTAGCAGCTTAAGTTACTTTGTTTTAATCAATTCATTTCGTTTCTGCCTTGGACGAAATGTGTCGGCTAATATTACAGTTTTACTATTTTCTTTTACATTTATAAATATTGTCTTTTTCTACAGGTTAACTCAGGAGAAATTTTTCATATATATATATAGCTTTTTGATTAACACTCACCGGAGAGAATTACTGTTTCAAACGTCTAAGTCTTTTTAAAAGCAGAGTTTACCTGTCATACCGCATACTGTGACCAAAATTGTAGGCCAACAGGGTGTCCCGAGTAACTCCAAAGATTAAAGGAAGTTCTTCTGCTTGCACAGAGACGGTTGGTGTCTAGAAACAAAACGAGATTCATAAATCCTTAAATAAAACACTGAACGATTCCCCGTTAGAATATTAAATCTATCTATCTATCTATCTATCTATCTATCTATCTATCTATCTATCTATGCGCGTGCGCATGTATGTCTATGTGTATGTTGGGTAAGCTATATGTGAAAACGAGCTTACAATCATAGGAACATATTAATCGATGCCAATGGATAATGCAATCACCTGTTTCGGCGAAATATCTACATGGGTAAATGGCATCTAAATACTGAATAAATATGTCAAAGAAAAAATACCTATAAATATGCGCAAATTTTACGGATTTATTGATAGCCATTCTTATATGAATGTGTCCACGTGCGTGTACGGCTGCAGAAAAATCGTAATGGCGCATACAATAGTCTGTTTAGTTTTACTATCATATCTGCTCCCCCATGGTAAATCTCATTGGTCGTGGAAATATCAATCCGTTAATCACCAGGTGTTTAGAAAATTCACACCTACTAAATCTTAAGATTTCTACTTTTAAATTTATCATTTGATTCTGTTGGCTTTCAGGAATTTTCGTAATGTGTCTTCACTCAAGAACACGGGCACCAGAAGCAGTTAGCACATATGTTGACCGCATTGTGGCTGATAAAGATGCTTTCCAAAAGCTCAGCAAAGTATTAAGAAACAAGAAAAAATTCATTAGAAATAAAGGAAAGGGTTCTTAACTATTATGTAATATCAGTCCTCCTGTAGTGAACGCTGGACAATTTCATCACAAATGAAGAAAAGGCCTGAAGCAACAGAAATGTGGTTCTGCAGAAGGCTGCTGAGAATACCATAGACTTAACTTTTGAGCAACTACGAAGTTTTAGAGAAACTTGAAACAAAAAGGTCACTTAGGCTTAATATCAGAAGGAGACAATTGAAATTTCTAGGGTACATAATGAGGAAAGAGGGTTTGGAAAATCTGACACTCACAGGATATATTGAAGGCTAGCGGGATTGAGGAAAACAGCGCCGGTCCTACCTAACGAGCTTGTGTAAATGGTTGCAAGAACAGGGCTTATTAGTAAAAAAAAAAAAAAGCGAAGAAGAAGCGAAATTTACTAGCTGGTATGAAGGACAAGAAGTTGTGGAGTGCCATGATCGCCAACTTCCTGAAGGAATATGACACATAAAAGATGAAGATTCGAACCAACATACTTATTTTCATTTTTATACTCCCAACGTTTCGGCTCTTCTTCAGTCTTCTTCAGTAAGCTTCCTGGAATTTTGAAGCAACACTTTATTCAATCCATGAAAATCAAGCAGGTGCGGAAATTCAAATATCTTGGAAGTGTTTTGACAGAGAACGGCAAGTGTGGCACTGAGATCCGAAGTCGTATTGGAATAGCGAAAGACGCATTCGAAAAGCTAGACACAATACTTCGAGACAGTAGGATTTCTTTGGTAACAAAGA